CACACTGACAGCATGGGGCCCAATTGGGGGCTCGAACTCAGGAACCATTAGATCATGACCTGAGCCAAAACCAAGAGTCAGTCACTTAATGGACTGAACCACCCTGGTGCTCCCCGAAATTATTTTCGAAAGGAAATCAAGTTAGCATATTTTCTGGTTTAATTATCCCCTTGATTATAAGCATAGAAAGTGGGGAGCTCTTTTAGTAACATGCAGATTCTCTCAAGTCTGTACCTTTCTATTTGTAGTATCCTCACCATCGTCACCCGTTAACAGGTGAGGTCTTATAGTTTCCTTCCCTCTCTGTTCCTAGAGTAACTAAGGTCTGGAGGGCTAAGCAGGTATGACCCCAGCTCACATGAAACTAACATAATAATTAGTGCTTGTTTACTGTATTCACTTAAAACAAGGCTGAATATTGTGCCAACTGGCCAGCTGTTCCTTCCTTGCAGGTAAGTCTTGTTAAAAAGCAAATGCTAAGGGGCACTTGGGTGGCTCTTGATTTGGGCTCAGGTCATGATCTCACAGTTTCTGTGATTGAGCCCCGTATCGGGCTCTGGTAAGAGCCTGGAGCCTGTTTGGGATTCTCTCTCTCTTCCTCCCTCTGTCCCTCCCCTGCTGTCTTTAATGGGCAAGCGTGCACATACTCTATTTCAAAATAAATAAACATTAAAAAAAAAGCAAATGATGGGGCACCTGGGTGGCTTAGTCGGTTAAGCGTCTGACTTTCGCTTAGGTCATGATCTCGTGGTTCGTGGGTTCGAGCCCCACTCGGGCTCTGTGCTGACTGCCAGCTCAGAGCCTGGAGCCTGTTTCAGTCTGTCACTCCCTCTCTCTCTGACCCTCCCCTGCTCAGGCTGTCTCTCTCTCTCTCTCCTAGAAATAAATAAATAAAAAAAAAAACAAATAAAAAAAGCAAATGTTTAAATACGAGTCATTGTTGGTGAGCAAGGCCTCAGAGTCAGTGTATTGATCTGGATCTTAAGAGCTAGTGTCCTCAAATTCTTTTTTTTAAAGTTTATTTTTGAGAGACACCGACATGAGTGGGGGAGGGGCAGGGAGAGAGGGAGACACAGAACCAGAAACAGGCTCCAGGCTGTCAGCACAAAGCCTGGCGTGGGGCTGGAACTCACAAACCAAGAGATCATGACCTAAGCCAAAGTCAGACACTCAACCTACTGAGCCACTGAGGCGCCCCTCGTATCCTCAAGTTCTGATAGTCTTGTGGATTTGTCTCCACTCATGGAGCCCAGATGTTTAAGTATTCTGCGCCCTGGACAGGGCTGGAGACACCTTGATAAACTGTTTTTTTGTTTTTAATTAAAAAAAATTTTTAAATTAAATTAAAAAAAATTTTAGAGAGAGAGAGCACAGTGGGGAAGAGGGGCAGAGGGAGAGAGAAAGAATCTTAAGCTGGTTCCACATTCACTGTGGAGCCCAATGTGGGGCTCCATCCCATGACCCTGGGATCATGACCTGAGCTGAAATCAAGGGTTGAACACTCAACCAACTGAACCACCCAGGTGCCCCTGCCTTGATAAATTCTTAATTTGAAAATGCTGTAAATTTTTTTTTTTTGCCTCTTTGGTTTTAGCTCCATTAGTAATATCCACATTCCTCTGAAACTTGGATATGCCACATTTTCTTCATCATACATGACTGAACAGTCTCTTACATGACTTTTATTCCTAAGTGGCTAAGCTCATTAATTAGTCATCATTTAAAAACCATCCATAGGGAATTTTAGTTCTACATTTGGGTATCCAGGTACTCACTATCTTGTTTGAGGCACCTGGGTGGAAAAGGACAATTTTAAGGTGTAATCTGGGAGTGACTATGCCTTGACCTTTCATCCTCACACTAGACAGCCAACCTTCGCCACACAAACAAAAACAAAAATGAAGTGAAAGGAAGGAAACTTATCTAGATAATCAGGAAGCAAACCACGGCATTAAGGATGAAAATGTCTTACTATCATTTGTGATGAACTTTCATATCCATTCTCTCATTATCTTCTCTAACAACCCAATGAAGTTCACATTGTTCACACAACCTACTACAAATGAAGAAACTGACCCTCTGTCAGGCTTCCAGAATCCTTCTGTAAGGAGGGGCAGGGCTAGGGGGTATATTAAATATATATAATATATGATATATATTTTATATATGATATATGATCATATATATCATATAATATATGATTAAATATATATAAATTCTGAATCTGGTGCTCTTTCTGATCTCTCAGCCCTCCTCAGCTTTTTCTATTTTACAAGAAGTCTTGTAACTATAGTTCATCTATTTGCAGGTCTGATCTCATTGGTTTAGATCTCCAAATTAGTTTATCAGGGTAAGTAGTTCCAAACCTGTCTCACAAAAGTTCTTGAGTTTTTTGCTTAAATGAGGCTAAATATAAGGAAATGTCATGGTGGGTGGAAAATAATATGGGGCTGGGAGTTGGGAGAACAGATTTTTACATGAATATGATGGATAATTTTGGGCCATTCAACCAAATTTTATCTTATCTATAAAATGAGGAAGTTGGCCATAGATATTGTCTAAGCCCCCTTCTGGGGATTTTATGTCTGCGTCATAAATTCCAGAAAGTTCCTGAGCTCCTCAGTGTTTGAGGAGATCAGTTGTCTGTTTCTACAGTGTGATTATCTGGACACACTTAGGGTGCCTAGATTCCAGTTCCCCTGGAGCAGTGCACCAGCTCTGTCATCAAAAGCTAAACAGGTAGTACTCCTGAGCTTTTGCCTTGTTTATTCGAAGAAGATGATCATTTTTGCTCTGCTGGCTTCACAGGGTTGTCTGAGGATCAAATGAGATGACGGTTGTGAAAACATTTTTTAAAAAGTCCATGAACTTAAGTTATTATTCTCTGTTTTAATCATCACCTTCCCATAGCAGCTATTCTTCTTTCTACCTTCTTGTTCACTGGGCTTATCTTAAGGTTAGTGATGAGTGCTAAAAGGCTTTGAGCAGCCTCAGCTGGCGATGTCAGAGCTACAGTGCTCTAGGACATTAGCTCTGTAGGAATCTAGGTATTCCTCAAACCCAGCTCATTCCTGAAGCTAAAGAAAGGTCTATGAGAAGACCCATGTACTACTAAATCATGTAGAAGGGAAGAAGAAACATTACTATCTCTTAAAGAAATGTTTTAAAATGTGAATGCCAGGCAGCATGGGCATCTAATCGTGGCAAGAGAAAATGACCCTTGAGCTTCATAATTGGATGTCTGTCACTGCCTTTCAGGCGTCCAGGCAGGGCAATTCCAAACCTACTCTCTGTCTCTCACTACAGTGAGATCTGGAGCCAAGCTTGTAACCCTTCTTGGCATGTCATTTGGATCTTTTCTCAGTTCCTTATTTATTTATTTATTATTATGAAGCCATCACTTTGAATCTGGGCATGAATACAAAACGGAAAGGAAAAATGTAAAAAAAAAAAAAGCTAAAAATCAGAACCACAAAGGTTAGCCAAGTAAAGAGGTCTCCAAGTACCTTTCCCCCCATTTCCTCACCAGACTCCCTTTCCTTCTTCCTTCTTTCATCCACATTATGCACCCTGCAAATCTCAGAGCCACTACCCACCTATAGCCAGACCTATTTGCAGGAGTTTAATTCGATGCACTTAATGGCCATGTTCAAAATGCAGCTGAATTTTGTTTTGGACCAATTGCCCATTTTTCTCTCCCATCCTTAGTGACCTGGTTATTGCGTCTAATCTTGGTAGGTAGAAATCGTCAGAACTCCTTTTGTCAAAACTCAAGCACAATTTAAGCATTTATTATGCAGCCTTGTTTTGCATTGTTAATATTTTGTACTTACTTTGGATTAATTTCGTATTTATCTAAGTCCCGCGTATGGATTTTTTTGGGTATTTGTCTGAGTTTTACATATCAGGGACAGTGACATAGGTTGGTTCTCTGGTGACCTAGGTTCCTTCTAATTGTCTATAGTTTCACAAGGCACTTCTCAGAAGGCATATTTGATATTAATAAGAGAAATAATTCCTTTGACACATAGGTATCAATGGAAGTGTCCCATGCCCCTTAGGAATTATTAACTTAATTTCCATGGATATTTTTAAGAACCCCAATATTTATTGAACGTCTCAGCAGTGTGCACGTTACTGGGAAAAGGGAAAAGAAATAGAGGAGATGATACCTTTTCTAAAGCGAGTTAACAGGGCTGAAGAGGGGTCTTACCGTATACAGATTTTTAGAGAAACATATAACCAAATTGTGAACTTAGATGCAGAAGATAATATCCATAGAAATTCAGGGATAATACATAGATCAATAAACTAGGGTTATTTCAATGAAGGAGGCTTTCTTTAAAGAAAGGAGGCGAATAGGACCGTAAAGGATAGACGCAGTTGGAAAATAAATGGAGGAGAGAAATAGACAATGAGGGAAGAGTAGGACAGGAATTTTGTAGAGTTTTTGTAGGAAATTTGTAGAGTTAGAAAGGATACATGGTACAATACAGAAACCTGTGACATTGGGCTCCAAATGGGGTACTGCAGGAGATGAGAGGCCTGAGGAAGGCTGGGACCTTATTCTCAGAGGATTGTGGCTGCAGATCGAAGGGGGCCGCTGTAGGTTTGAAACAAGAGCACAGCATAATACATACTTGTTTTTAAGAAGCCGAAAGTAGCTGATGGTATACAGGGTAGATGAAAGGGAATAAATGGAGCCAGTCAGACTGGATCAGCACTTTTTTTTATGTTTTATTTATTTATTTCTAGGCGGGAGAGAGAGGGAGAGAGAGAGAGAGAGAGAGAGAGAGAGAGAGCGTGAGCAGGGGAGGGTCAGAGAGAGAGGGAGTCACAGACTGAAACAGGCTCCAGGCTCTGAGCTGGCAGTCAGCACAGAGCCCGACGCGGGGCTCGAACTCACGAACCGCGAGATCATGACCTGAGCGAAAGTCGGACGCCCAACCGACTAAGCCACCCAGGCGCCCCTGGATCAGCACTTTTAAGAACCTGCCCCACCTGGACCCAAACACAGGAGGCTCCCATCTCTTCCGTGTACTTGGGATAAAGGTTCCGCTCGCCTTTCCCGCAGCCGGAGCCGTTTCAAGAGGGCAACCTTGAGAGAGCAACGCTTGCGGACGGTCTGGCTGGTACACAGGACTGAACCCTGTTAAGGCCTCTTCCTAAACTTCAGGATTCTGGCGGGCGCGTGCAGAGATCTGCCCCCCCCTGTGACCAAGGAACACCAGCCTCCGCAGTAAGTGCCCTTCATTATAAAACCGCCACTTTTTCCTTCCGTCCCTGCCCTCCTTTCCCCGGGAGCCAGTTCCCGATTTCCTCCGAGGAAACTCCTGAGGCTGCGAACCCACAGAGTCATACTGTTTTACAGCCGTTAAAAAGATAAACTGAGGTATATACAGTACTGCAAATTTTAAGAGTTTGAGTGAAAGTAAGTTCGAATTTGGCCGCGCGTCAAACCGGAAGTGGTTAGCGCTCAGGCGGCGACCGAAACCCAGAGAAAGGCTTTTTATAGAGAACGTGTGGTGCAAAGCCTGGACGTTTCTTGATTGGCTACAGCCGAAGCAGTTACCTTATTTGGGACAGCCTAGGTGGCGGTTTGTGATTGGCTTTCTTTAGGTTTCGGATTTCTTGGAGGCATCGTAGGCCTAAAATTTGGTTTGTGGAAATGTGAGCTACCTCAGTCTAGCGACCTGCTTGTTCAGTTAATTTAACACGATGTTACAGGTTTGGTTTTTGGTTTTTGGTTTTTTGCTAACATTATCTTGTGTGAGACTGGAAATAACCCAAGAAGGTAAATAGAGCGTGCCGTGTTATTCCATTCTCTGTATATAGAAATTATTGACTCGGCGATGTCAAATATTTTGCCCAAAGAGTGGCACTTCAGAAGTGATGGAATCGGGACTTGAATGTGGGATTCAGATTTTGTTACTGGACACATGCTGTGTTATCGGGGACCAAAGAAATGCTTTTTTTTTTTTTTTGGTTATTAAATCGGTCGGAAGGAAGTTGGACAAAAAGAACATTTTTACTCCCGAAGTCACTTCACTCAAGTTATGCAGACTCAGCTTCACACATTGCAGAGTCAGGTTCCCTGCGCATATCCACTGCCTGTTTTCGTAGGATTCAAACAGGTATCTCTTAAGATGCTTTTAAAGACTTTACCTATTGACCAAGTGTGGGTTGCTCTCAAGCCTTTTAGATAATTGCATATTTTACAACCTAGGATGTCATTGTTAGTTTTTATCTTGGGAGCCTCATTCTTAAATACCCTGGCAAGGAGAAACTCCAGGTTTAGGACCATTGACCATGACGGATGACTTCTTTTTTTCTTTAGAAAACTTTTTATGGAAGAATAGCATTCATAAAGATGCACAGATCATAACTGTACAGCTCAGTGAATTGTTACAAATTGAATCTACCCAGATCAAGAAACTAAACAATAATCCTAGAAGGACCACCTCAAGCCTCCTCCTATTTGGCTGACAGATTATTAAATTGCTTATTCTTTCTTTGTTACTTTTTTGAACTTTATATACTAGAAATGCTGATTTAAAAATTTATTTACTTATTTATATTATTTTTCTAAATAAGGTCTATGCCCAACTCATGACCCCAAGATTAAGAGTTGCCGGCTCTACTGAGCCAACCAGATGCTCCTGGAAATACTGATTTTTAAATATTCCATTGTTTTTATATTTTGTATACATATTTTAATGCCTTGTAGAGAAGAGTTCAAATTCTTTGATTGTTTTTAATGTTAGTGTTTCCATATTTTTAGTCTTCCATGTAAATATTTATTGAGCATAGTCTCTAGCACTATAGAGTATTACCAATTTTAGATAACCTGGAATAATTTCAATTTTCAATGCTTTATATGCTTTAACAGTTGATATTTGATTTCAGAGTTTCACTGTCTTAGACTTTTTCAGCTTTTTTCCTCTCTTTCATTCTAGACACAGTCTATAGACCTTATGATCATTATTACCTAGAGGGCTCTCCTTCAGTTTGCTTTACTAGACCTGTCATCTCTGTTAATCCAAGTCATGGGAATTGACTATTTTTTTTTCTAATTCAACATTTATATGTCAATAGCAAGCTCAGTGCTTGATTTCTTCTATTTAAGGTATATCCCTGAATGTCCAATTAGAATCCTTGGTTACTACCAGCACAAAGCTTGTTTTCACTTTCAGGAGGCTTGTGGAGTTTGTTACCTTCTTTGTACTGTGATACATCTTTACAAAACAAATCTGAGAACAGTACCTATGTGAATTAACTAGTTTTGTTCTTTTAGCTCTCATTATTAAAACCATGCATATGGAGAGATTATTGTCCTATTGGTGGTGACCTGACTCTGTGGTCCTGACCTTGAAGACTATAAATCTGAGTCAGGAGTCTTCTATAACCATTGTGTTTGACATTTTTTAAAAATCTTGGTTCAGATGTCTGATTCTGATATCACTTCTTTATACTAAACGTTTTCCCCCAATTCTGCCCTGACCCTGACCACTGTGGTTGTTTTAAGTAAGGGCTTGATTTGATACCTATGACCTTAGCTTTCTTCTTCCCTATAATTAACCCACTGTACAGACTCAGTAGCAAAACCCTGGGACCTTCCCGTACAATATCCGTATATGGGACTTTCATTTTGCCCATCTGAAAAGTCCAGTTCTCATTCCTTTCTGACCTATGTGTACATTTCAAGACCAGCATACTCAAATTAAAGATTCCTCGTAATAAGGTTCACCTTTCTTCTGACCTAAGGAAGGAATGCCCCCTGAAAAAGGAGAGGGGAGGTCCCTTTCTGCATCTCTTCCCACATTTTCTCCAGGAAGGAGCAACAGAGTCTTCAGGGACTTCTTTCCAAGTGTTGCCTGTGAGGAGTTAACAGTCTACTATCAGGAAGAAAAAAAATAAATCTTCCCATTAGATGTTAAAGAATATAAATACCAGGAGGCTCTTTCTTTTTCTCATTCCTTTTTCTACCTAGAGTCTTTTTGTTGTTGTTTGTTTATATTTCTGCTTCTCTCCAGAGTTCTGTTTCCTAGTCAATATGTTCCTTGATTTTCCCCCTCGATATAGCCAGCTGGATGGCAGTAGCAGGGACTGCACGAGTGTTCTTAGTGTCCCCTTGAAGAGGCTTAGAAACTTCTCCCTGCAGCTGATCAGGAGGCCTGGAGGAACCTTGGTACCTCTGGATGTGGGAAGCGGGGACTGGGAGCTATCCGCTCATGTGGTTTGGCTGCAGTTAGAGGGAAAGCCGCTGCTAGCTCGGTCACTACTATGGCTTGGTGTAAGTCTACCTCCTTCAGGTTTGCAGGCACCCTGGAGAAACCTTCATGGACTTGGTGATTCTGTGTCCTGACAGGCACATGTTCTTTTGTGACACAGGAGGAGCTTTTCTCCTTTGTAAATGAAGAAAAAATTAAATTTTTTTGGGGGGGGGGGTGAGACCTGATCCTTCAGGTAGAAAGTCCTAGTTAACATTCTAATCCTTTTCCTCTTTTATTTAGTGGACATCCCTATCTTAGGTTAAGGAACTTTCCATCAGTTTCTTAGCAACACAGAAGACCCTACTCCTAGGAGAAGCACAAGACATTTCACATAGCTCAATGCAGAGCTCTAGGGTCTTTTTCCTGATAGCCAGAGAAAGCAGTTTTTCAGAGTTGGGCACAAGAGTTATTGCTGAGAGTGGTTCTTTGATCTATTAAAATAACTTATGTTTTAACTTTTTTTTTTTTTTGGCAATAACTATAGCCTGAATTGTCTGTACTGGGAGTTGTGACCAACAGTTGGTATTTGCAAAATGACATCATTTACATGTGCTCATTTTCAGGACCTCAGTCAAATGATTAGTTCACAGGTTCTATTTTTATTTTGAACTTTGAAAGGATTAGTTTGAGAATGTTTAGTGTTTTCTAATGCATATTTTTTATCAAAGATTTCATAAAGTTTTTTGGTTACATTTAATTATGTGACATTTGGGGTTGAGTTAGTATCTCTAATCTTAGCTCTTGTTTTAAGAGTTGCTCTATAGATACAGAGCAGGCTAATTGTTTATCTAAAATTTCAAAAAAGAGAAAATTTTACATTTCCTTACATAACTGTTAAGGAGGCAACACCCTTTGGTCCCAGGGTTTTTAGGGGGCAGAGACAGGCCTGCCTTGGAGGGAATTCATACCACACATGTACTCAAAAGGTAGTGGGCGGATGAATGTAAAGATCGCAATCTCCAGTATTTACCGAATAGGTCCTGGGGAATTAGCACCTCATGACCTGTGCGCGCACATGTGCGTGCATACACACACACACACACACACACACACACACAGAGGCTTCAAGCTCTAACTGAATCTGGTAGTATCTCACTTCATGTTCTCTCCTTGAAAAGGAGTTTGCCTATGAGTTTTCTAATATTCATATGAAAATATTTCTGTTGAGGAAGAAACTAGAACAAGATTAGGGTACTTCTACAAACCAAGATTTCATCTTTTGCTCCATTGTCCACATTCCTATTTGATTCTGGTTTTGATAAAATACCAAAGCTAAAATAATTTATCTTAAAGATCATTTGATTTTTTGATTGCCAGTATACTCCTCCATTAGGTATCACTCAGACTAATGCCTTAATTGATTTTAATTCCCATCTCCTCTTCCCTGTACATGTCCTCATGGAAGGGGGTACCCATTGACCTCAGCACAAGATGAGCAATGGCTCATCTTGTTGCAGTGACTGGCTTATGTATTGACTTACTATGTTTGTATAGGCAAAGCAATCAAATTGTATGATGATATTTGCTTGCCTAAAAGGGACATTTTGAAACAAAAGAGGGAAATTAATGTGGGATAAAATTGGGTATAATTTATTTCATGATTAACTTGTTTTTAACAATTAATAATAATCAGGGACACATTCAGTGTTCTGGTGCTAGGATTATGAAGGCAAAGGAGATACACTCCTGCCATCCGTTTGCATACTCCAGTCAAGAGAAGAGAATGGGTTCATAAAGAGATGATGAGAATCCTATGCATTAACGTGAGTATTGGATACCCAGCGGCTTATGGGAGCATGGGAAAGGGGTCTGTAATCCTGACCAAGGTTAATGGTAGAGGGGATGGGTAGGGAAGGCTTTTTGTAGCAGCTGACTCCTAAGTTTAATCTAAAAGGATGAGTTTGAGTGAAAGAGATGAGTGAATTGAGGTGGGGGGAGAGGAGAGAATGGTATTATTGGCAGAGGG